TCGACACCTAGCAACTGGAACGCTTGCAAAACAGTAGCTTCAATGGAAACACCTACTGCCACTCTTCGCATGATATCATGCAGTTCGTGCTCGACTACAAAGTGCCTCAACCCGCCCCCAAAGACTGCCTGAGGGGCAATTAGAACCTCCACTTCAGGGGGCCCTCCATCAATGCGAGCAACAACTTGCTGATGGACAAGCAACCAGACTGAGGTGGTAAGTCGTAACTTTTCATTGGCTACAGCGGCCATTTGCTCGGCCCAAAGCTGCCCCGCATGCAGCTCAGTATCCGCACGTCTGCCAACCTGAGGCAGAGGAGAATCAAAATACCACCCACTGATTTGTGCGGCAAAAGCACTTCCTGTGTAGCGTCTCAGGAATGTATAGCCAACATCAATCCAATCTTTTCTGCCAGATCTTACTAGCTTGACGTTGGTCAACCGGAGGATGCGCGTGCGCAAACCGATCCCTCTGCATAAGACAAAGACTGTCCCCTGGCAGAATGGGATCATCCAAAATGCAAGCGTTCTCACGATTTGGTTGACGATTCATGCTGACAAAACTACCATCTGGGTAGTTGATTCTAACATTCCAGTACGGGGTGTCTCCCGCCTTTGCGAATCAACATGGGTGCCACAGAAGTGACCTGGATCAACCAAATCAAACAACGTTTTGACTCGCGCAACTTCGAAAAACTGACAGCGCCCATTATCATGGGAGTGCGATCAACTTGAAGTAGATATAGTCTACTAGCACAGTTCGATACAGTGGTGGCCAAGAATGTCCAACTCAATTCAGCAAGAGCAACAACCCTGACTGGTTGTCCATATATGCGATGCCTCCATGCTTGGTGCGTTGTTGGTCAAAACACGGAAAATCTCGGCAAAATCCACTGCTATCTTGTTCATGGTGAAACCACACTGTGTAGCTCCATGTCTTGATGCACACGTCCATGTCGAACAATTCCGTCAAGACATTCTGCTTTTTGTGGTGACAAGATGTGACAAGTTACTCCATGCTGCATCAATGAAGTAATTTCCAAGTGCGTAGGCCTCTCGTGAGGATGGGTTGCAGTGTTTTCCCACTTCTCACAAGAAGTGCGGCCCGACCCGCTTTTTGACCACTGGAACTAATGCGCAAAAACAATTTCCTTGTGCAACTTCAATCCGATCTACGACCTCTTCCTGTTGAAAGAATAGTCGACACATAAATCCTTCTTGACATTCTTGTGTCAACTCAAGATGTTCAACAATTTGAGCTTTGGAAGTTGAAGTTGCAACCAACATTGCGTGCCACGAGAGCGCTTCATTTTCCACCTCGTTGTGAACGATCACATAAATGGCACATTGATCCCGTGGCATCGGTCGACTCACCATCAGGAATACGCTATCTTCTCCGTGAGCTTCCCATGGAGTGACAAAGGGCCAGACTAAATGCACTTGTCTGCCCGCAAAAATGCTGACTGTATGCCACAGTTGATATAGTCATCAGATTTCTTTCTGTGTCAAACTGTTCCATCTGAGAAAAGACCGCTGGGATTTCCCAATGCTTGTGAGCATCTATCAAAACCATGCTTGCTGGAATGTCACCCGTCAGCCAAACCGCTGTGAGCTCCTGTTGGATTTCGGCAAACCTGGCAACAGTAGTGACACCACTGACTTGATCAGCAAAAAGGGCCACTTGCTCTTGGCTACTCAGGTCCTGAGCGCCAATAGCGTGCACTTGCTCCGAATCCATACTTGCTGCAAAAAGGAAAAACTTCTTCTGCTTCATCTGCACCAAGGAAACATCATCAGCAAGACACAGGGTTGCAGTGTTTTCCCTGTAGTTGCTGCTTTGCACACTGAGATCATCTCCACTCTCATCATCTCCTTGTCGAGCTGACGACGAGGCACTTGCCAGCTCGACTTGAACAAGTAGGGCAAATTCAGCTTGCAAATTCATAACCTCCTGCCCCGCCCCCATCTCCAGGAAAAGTCCTGTTGAGAGATCACGCAAGTCCACCTCAAGTCACATTGATGATCGGGGATCATCTTGTCAAAGAAGACCTGCGCCGTGGCATCCTCATAGCCTTGTCTCCACAAGACTGTGCCAAGTTGTCGTTGGGGGGCCATTCACAACCAACACTAAGATAGGACGGATGCCGGAATTGGTCTTGGTGACCACAATCACTTGCTCTCCACGCATGTTCGAACACGAGAAATGTGAAAATCGAGCCCGACCAGCCCGTCCTCCAATTGATCAAACACTACGGCGTGCAAACACTGTTTCGGTTTGACAAGTACGAACCTGTGCATGGAGACAAATGACGCGCCTTGCAAAACGATGATGCATCCACAATTTGACGCCCCTTGGCATCATGTGATTGCACCAATGGCCATTCAATCCTGGATGCATTTGCATGAGTGCATTTTCCTCACTATCCCCCCTAAACCAATGAGCGGTGGCTGCCTCTGCAATCTACTTTGACTGGAATTGGCCATGCGCTGACCATTGCAGTGTGCACCCTCCATTAGCCTAGGCAACAAGGGTCCCCATGGCACCCATCTCAATATCAAACCATGCCCAACCAACACAGGCGCTTGCATTGACTGCGGTGGCTGCTCATTGACCATAATGACTGCGCAAGTCCCTTCAGCTGGCTGAGGGATCACAGGCCAAATGATTTGTCTCTGAGTGACCTCAAACAGGGTCGGTAAAAACCTCTGAGGCCAATCACTCTCATGCAATTGTTCAGTCGGAATGACCAAACTCTGCCTATCATTTTCACGAATGATAGTGAATAGTGACTTGCTTCTGCTCCTGGAATCTGCTGGCTGTACTGACAACTGAGGCCCAGACAGCGTGATTAGCTAAGGCAAACTCTTCTTCTCGTGTTGTTTGGTTGGACGTGGTGGTTTGCGCACGACTAGCGCTTTCCATACGAGGCATTGGACTAGTTTCCACCAACAAGCGATATAGAGGGAAAATTGTCTTGACCACTCTGGGCTTCTCAGTCACCGGAACCCGAATCCGGTGTCTGGTTCCTTTGATCTTGACCATCTTCTTTCTACGGCAACACTTCTTCCAACACAAGGACGAAAGAATGATGCGCAACACTACAGCTGACATGGCGAGCCTTGCACTAAAGTCTAAAAGACCCCGAATGTACAGGAGCTGCATTTGCAGTGCTTTTACCTCATCATGAGTTACTGCGGAGGTTGTACTTTCATCTGCAGATCTGGTAGTGTCACTCAGGATGCTTGTCCTAATCTGCATCGAAAGCTTGCGTGAGTCTCTGCACTGGCTCGGTTCTGGCATTGACCTAGCGAACAAATGCGCCCTGGGAATTGCCGGAACTGCCCAGTAGTAGCGGGCATACACTATCAATCCTTCCTTCTTAGAAGGAAAACCCAATTCCAACTATCCATACTTCTGATTTGAGGGGAACAGTCAAAAGAAAACCTGCCGAAGAAACTGCTGAGCTGCAAGTCCACCTTAAATGGCGCCGTGGATTCCCACATCCTGCAACCCGCACATGCTCTTGCGCCCAAAGAGCTGACTGGGCATTGGTCTTCTCCGTTCATCCCTCTTGATGATCGAGCTTGGACTTTTTGGCGAGATTGCCAACTGGCGCCTCGACTCTCTTGGCTGGCGAAATCGAGGCTCTCCCAAATTGGTTGGGATTGGGTAGTCCACCTTTGGGTACTGCAAAATCGGTGTCTGTCATCAACTCCTCGTCTGATATCCGCTCTGTGGTGTCGACTGGATCCAAGTAACCATCTTCTGCCACAGCCTCCTGTAATTCTTCTTCTTCTTCCGGAACTACTGTGTAAGAGCAGTTCTCCTCAGAGTTTCCTGAAGTTCCACCAACTTCTCTTTCCTGGATTTCAGTTCCTCCATAGCAGCAGATCTTTGTTCTAGGTAAGCCACTTTCTCTCGCTCGAAGGCAGTCTTGATGGTTTCGGCAATCAATTTCCAATCCTTGTCTATATCCACGATGGCCTCCTTGGCTTTCACATACTGCTTCTTGGCTTGAGCGATTTTGTTGAGAACACCATGTGTGATCTCTGGTCTGCTCGCTGATGAAGCAGAAGCGGCCTCCATATTTTTGTCTTTGAGCTCCTTTGTATACGCACTCCCCAACGTGCGTGCGTTTGAGCTCCTCGATCTGGCTTTTCACTTCTTGAGTGATCGCCGGGGGAGCCGGCGGCTGTGGCAACTCTGGGGCTGGTGGTAGAGGCAATTCCTCTTCTCGTCCCTGCCCAAGGATGCCAATCTGGTAGCCGGCGTGCTTTTGATCCAAGGTACGCCAGGTGAGTCTTTGACTGCTGACTTTCTTCCTGAAAATGGGGTCAACATCAGCAGTTCTTCTCGACCTTGGCCTTTTGCATTCTTCATCGGCTTCTTGCTTTCTTCTGGTCTGCCTTTTCTCGATTTGGAACGTGATTGTTTGTGCAACACTGTTTGCCACCACCCTTGGCATTGGTGGCAGTACAGCCTTGACATCGTCATGCTGACCCAGCAATTCTTGCGCGTTCACTTCTGCTGTTTCGACATTGCAGGAGCTTTCGAGCCGTGGTGAGAGTTCAACAAATCCTGAGAAAGGTCGATGTGCTTTCTCAGTTTCTCGCCAATTCTCACTCTTTTGAAACTCCTCAAAAAGGATCTTGCTCTCTTTCTCTTCCTTCGAAGATTCCGATGCCAAGACTCCTCTGTCGCCAGCGTAAAGACAATCGAGAAGGCCACAGAAAAAGATAGTCGCCCACCAGCGTCCAACCATGCACGGTGCAACGCTAGGGGGCTAAGGTTCACACTTCAAAAACTAATGAGGGACCAGCACCAAAAAAAGGTCAATGCGGGCCCCATGTTCTCAACATTTCTCCCTCTATATTGTCTTTACAACTCAATGAGCAAGGCTACCTCTCATTGCGAAAATCGAGCCTGTCATACGGTGTTGTAAGTTGTGTCTGTGCATGTCCCTCGCGCGCACTGGTGACAAACGATGCATGTGAAGGCACCGAGCGTGGACCACCGGCTGGACGAGCACAGCCAAATACAAAGCCTGTTTTCAAGAATGGAGAAAAAGAGTGTGGACTGCTCAGTCAAACATGTGGACTGACTCAAACCTTTCAACACTTCAGTCTTTGTGCTCGTCACTTCTCTTGTCCATCTCACCTTGTCCGGAACTTTCATCTGCTTTCTGCTGGCCACGGCTCGATCCTGGCTCCGGAGTCGCTCACTCTCCTTCACTCCACCGTTACAACAAACAAACTTACCAATGCACTAATTCCAATACAAACCAATAGGTGTCCGCAACTCACAGGCCACAAACCAGCTGGACAACTGACGCACTGTGTCTACATAGTGACTACGTGTATCGTCTTTCCTCTTCCATCTCTCCATTTTGCTTTCCACAACTCAAAAGAACATAAAGTACCATGGAAGATCTGAATTCGTCGAGTCTCTGTCCACTTTGACGCCCAAACCCGCTTCAGTGCCCGTTGCCAGTCGCCAGCATCTAACGCTTTGGATGCTTCCCCAAGCGCGGCGTCCAGCGCCGGGCGGACAGAGCTTGGCACTGCCTCGTGAGGCCGCCCGGCAGGCGCAAATTGACATCCTATCGCTTGGCAAATTACATCAGTAATGATTCAGTAATGTATATATAACAAATACTGTACATGTATACACCAAGAGTCGTTGTCTACAGATTCTGAATCGACCAGTAGGTGGAGTTCAATGGAGACACCACTTAAGAGGAACAAATTTTTTGATCGGGGTTTAGATCTCTGCTCGTTTTTGTGCATTCATCAGTGGATGTTTGGTAAGCGTGCAGCTCCAGTGTGCAGTTTGGAGGGACTTTCCCGACAAAACACTGGCTGCAAGTTGCGACAGGTCACAGGAGTCTTTTGTTTGTGTAAAACAATTGAACGTCTCAAATCTTTGTCTGCGCAACATATGTGCATGGCCCATGGCATTGTACTTGCTGACGCACTAAATCATTTTCGGTGTTATAATCATACATGTTACATGATGCTAATTGATTGGATTTCAAAAAAGAACATGCTGTCGCTTGATTATACGTGTATTGTCCACACATGTGCAAAAGAGCTCCCATTTGCGGAACACTCACTCAGCTGATCAAGTAGCTGGCCGATAGAGAAAAACAAACTGCGCGGGGTTGCTGAAATTTCGATCACTATCAGTGGTCGTGTTTTTTGGTTGAAATCGATCAAAACACATTCAGGTCGCTTCGCGAAGACAACCGCCAGCACCAGTGGCTTTTAGAGACAGGGTAAAAGGATGTATATAAAAGGGATATATCCATATATATCCGCCGACCCCACACCGTGGGGTGAGGCGTGACTGTCGATGTTAGCCTTAGCCTTAAGCCTTAGCCTTAGCCTTAGATTATGGCCTTAGCCTTAGACTTAGCCTTAGACCTTACCTCCCCTACCCCTCCGGACCCTTGTTGCAGTGACGAAATCCCTACCAAATTGCGACGCGATTCCTACCAAAGCGCGACGTGATTGTGCCCTGGATTGTCCAAGATTCTGCCATCCCAATTGATTTACACCTTGGGGCACCCTCTCTACCCGCGCGGGAGAAAATAAGCACGGTCCAAAATGGTCCCGGGCTCGAATCCCGGGCTGGTCGCGGCGTGTTTCCTAGATTTTGTGACAATTTCTATTGGAATTGTCGGATTTCCCGGGCTGGTCGCGGCGTGGTCCCGGCCAATGCCCTGGCTTTTTCCTAGAGTTTGTCACGTTTTCTGTTGGATTTGTGGGATTTTC